GATATGTGTCGCCAGTATCATTTGTTTCATGAGTTTTAAAAGATACAATGTGTTGATTCTAGTTTACTGGTATGAGATCAGAACTAGCATCAAGTATAATACATGGCAATAAACAATACTGACCCAATACTTTCTTGGCACAAGGAGCTGACAAATAACTTAACTTTTCAGATAATTGATGATCTTATCTGACATTAACTATTCAAAGCGAAGAGAGTCCTGTAATCCCAACATCAGAAACAAATCCTGAGGAGTAACTATTCTGATCAAAATTACAGTCTTGTCGTCTTCTATTGAGTTGCATCTAGCAGTTCGACTTGGTGGTACTGGACAGTCTAAGTAAACTTAGGCTCAGTATTATTCTTTAACCAATCAGACAATGACTACTTATTAGAGTTCGGCGGGACCTACAGAACGGTTTTTTTGATTTTCTCTTCCCTGGTCGCTGACACTGATCTATCAACAAACGAAAATCCGCATAAAACACAGATATTTGACCTGCAGTATATATATATATATATACTCTTAGGGGTTTCTAATAACATGGTTACTATTAGCTTATATTTCCGCAAGATGACATCCTTGAATACTGACAAAAACGCTATGATCAGTGACTGTTTACTCATTGCGTCCTCCATGTGTATCACTCGGAAGCGATCGTGTGGAAAATAACATTCGGAATCGGTCTAGTTTTGGAAGTAAAGGTTCAAACGGTATGTGCGAATGTTAACGTTCGCGATTTGGTAAGCTGTGTTCTGATTGGTCAGTCCAAAAGGTAAGCTGACGCGACCTTCTACTAGGGTTTGTTAGACTCAGTATAGCAGTGTAACGAATAATACTGAGCCTAAGTTTACTTAGACTGTGGTACTGGAGTACAAATCACCCAATAGAGAGATATAAGCGAGTTACGGCACGTCGTACTTCCGGTGACAAACAACGTTTCATACCTTTTCGAATGGTCTCCTGGTTGTCAGGTGACAGTAAAAACCCGATAATCCATGCAGGAATAACACATTTCTGATCTAACCATTCCCACATCAGCCAACTATTACGACTGTCAACAACTGTGACGGCCAAGCATGGTTGTACACTTGGTCCAGTCTAGTAAAGTCATATTTGGCGTTTGCGCAATTTGGAACCAGAACTGGTTCTTGAATATACGCCTGTCCCCGGAAATCTGGTACCGGAAGTAAACTGGGCCCCGCCTCGCATATCGCAAATTGGTGCGCACAAAGGGAGCCGGGTACCAGTTTAGTGCCGGAAGTAGCGCCTCGCAAGACTTACACAGGACCTATGGCATGTTCCAAGTCGTTGCTTCATATTGCATGTGAGAACCAACCCTAAGTACGACAATATGTTGCACTGCTTTGACACATCAAAGTCATGTTCCTAGAAAGTATGTAGAAACAGTGTCCAACAAGACATTAACATTTTTCAACACATAATTAAATAAAACACTTCGTAAGATTGAACCTGTACATGTTTTCGGAACAACGCATGCGCACTGTGTGTACATGTCGGCATGTGGTTCTGCCGCCAAAGTGAAAATACAATCGAGGGATGCCCACTATTGTGTCTTGGTATCTCTCCATGCCCGCTCAAAACAGACAGTAATGTAACTTAGTTAATCATCGGTCATTATAATCATCACAGCTTTACACCTCACATTTAAATCTATAGAGTATGATAGAAAATGAAATAGAACATGTAATAGGTAAATATATGTGAATAAATACCGTTTGGACAAGTCTGACAGCACTGTCCCGGTTTCCGAACAGGGTCGACGCAGAGTGAAGGGAAGAAGCAGTCGATAGCCAGACAAGACATCCGACCACCCTGCATGCACGTGCAGGGCATGCACGCGCTCCCGGTTCTTACACCAATCTGGTAAGTCTTATTTTGATACACGCATTCGTCAGCTGCAGCTGTAAGCACCGGAAGTGATGCAGACTCGGAGCAAACGACGAGCGCCAGGAATATGGCAGATGACACGAGTGTTCCGATCATTGCGGCAGAAGTGACCCGGAATATTGAGACGTTAACTTTATAGTAGTGTTTCTTATCTATAGACCTATCTGATGATTAGCTTGGCGACCTTTAGAAGATCAGATAAAATGAATCAGGTGAAACCTTAGCCTGTGTCTCCACCCTTGAAAACATATTTAATTGGAGTCTTATTTAAGTCTAGAATGATTTAGCAAGTCTAGATTGCTTCAGCTCTAGGCCTGAATTTAAGATTGTTATGGGCTTTTTTATCCTTTGAAAACTATTTTTCCAGATCTGAGCTGTTAGACGAGAGACAATATCGACCTCAATACCATGTGGTCATCTAATAATATTCCCTCGAACCCCTTTCCATACTGATGCTGATGGGGCGGCGGGGAAGCCTAGTGTTTCAAGCGTTCGCTCGTCACGCCAAAGACCCGGGTTCGATTCCCCACATGGCTACAATATGTGAAGCCCATATCTGGTGTCCTCAGCCGTGATATTGCTGGAATATTGCTACAAGCGGCGTAAAACTAAATTCACTCTAATGCTGATGAAAGGTTATTATCTGCTTGATCTCCAGATAATGTTGTTTTCCATCTGTACGAAAAGTACTATCGTAGAATATTGTTTTCGCTTTAAATGTGTAAAATGCATTGAGATATTTGCATTACATGCACGTTTGTGGAGAAGACTACTACGGCATCGAGCATACGACTTCTCCTTGATGTTGCAAGATTCTTCACGGTATTAATGTCACTACTTCCAGGGGGCGGTTGGGTAGCCTAGTGGTTAAAGCGTTCGCTCGTCACGCCGAAGACCCGGGTTCGATTCCCCACATGGGTACAATGTGTGAAGCCCATTTCTGGTGTCCCCCGCCGTGATATTGCTGGAATATTGCTAAAAGCAGCGTAAATCAAACTCACTCACTCACTCACTCACTCCTTCCAAATCTTATTAACACATACTTATGCTTGTCGTAAAAAACGATTAACAGGATCGGGTAGCCAGGCGCACTCCAAAGGTTGATGTATACCATCGTATCCCTATTGCGTAAATAGATGCTCATGATGTCATCACTGGATTGTTTGGTCCACGCTCGAATATTTACAGACTCCATATAGTGTGATGTTGCTGAGGCGGCGTTAAACAACAAACAAACAAACAAACAAACTAATCTGTCCGAACACTTACTCTGTTGTCAGTGGATACATCAGAAATGGGTTCTGCCCTCGAAATCATGCGGGCGGTGGAGACGCCTAGTGGTTAAAGCGTGCGCTCGTCACGCCGAAAACCCAGGTTCGATTCCCTACATCGGTACAGTGTGTGAAGCCCATTACTTGTGTCACACAGTCACCTGATCAATTCCTGATAAGAGATTTGAGATTCCTTCCTATATAGGCTATCAGTCCGAGTAGAAGAAGACACATTTGCTGTTGACTGACTCTATGATGGCAATTAGGTTAGCTGCCTGTACCCTTCTTTTGGGGCTTTTCTCCCTTATAATAGAGGGTGCAGTGATCAGCCATGAGAATGGATGTGTAGTCAACGGGGTCACCTACAAGGAAGGGGAACGCGTAAATAAGAACCCATGTTCCCCCTGCACGTGTAGTCAAGGCAGGATGATGTGCATGGCGATTGACTGTGCTCCTCCGATGTGCGTCAACCCTGTACAGAAACCAAACCATTGCTGTGGGACTTGTCCAGATGGTGAGTGATGTGGCATTGTTCGGTATGTGTGACGTGTCATTGTTCAGTAGTACGTGTGATGTGTCATTGCTCAGTACGTGTGACCTGTTATTATACAGTACGTGTACTGTGTCATTGTTCAGTATGTGTGACGTGTTATTGTACAGTACATGTGACGACTCATTGTTCAGTACGTGTGACGTGCTGTTGTTCAATATGTGCGACAAGTCATTGTTCAATACGTGTGACGTGCAATCGTTCAGCACGTGTCACGTGCCATCGTTCAGTACAATTTACGTGCCGGTGTCCAGTAAGTGTGTTTGATACATGTGAAATGTTATGTTTAGTATGTGTGACGCAAGACTGGATATCCCCCTATTGCTAGCAGTATTCACTATTCAATGAAACACGAACTGCTAAAATTCCATTTTCATATCGAGACACACGTATTTAATTTGCACTTTGACTGCACGTGAACTAGTGAATTTTGTTTGATGCCGCTATCGGTATTCCAGCTTTCTCCTAGCATGCTAGTGGTTTACAGCATCGATGCACAGCGTCAAAGAAGAAAAACGTCACAGTAGAACGTTCAGTGTCTCTGTTTTGTGCTACTGGCTTTATTTATTCATTTCTTCATATATTTTAATTCAGGAAACAACTGTAAATATAAGGACGTGGTCATCAAGTCGGGGGATACGTACCATCCTGACACCAACACCGTGTGCAGCTGTTCTACCGACTTCTCGTATCTGTTCGGCCCACATGGACACGAAGCATTGTGTGTGCATAAGGCAACTGGCGTCACTGGCTCCATGTAGTAACGTTCGTCACACTGTCTTAGAACCGAACCATATCGATGATTAAATACAAAGTGTCTGTTTCATCAACTAACTACTTGCTATTCTATTCTTAATAATTCGCTGCGTACTGCTATATTGTTTGTTCTCTCTCATCATTATTCTTGTTCAATGGCGGAGGTCTGTGACCAGTCGACTCTGGACGAGACGAGCCAAGACGAGGCCAGACGAGACCAGACCAGAAAGCGCTTTGAGCGTGCTTAGATGTGTAAAAAAGCGCTATACATATGGAACTATTATTATCATTATTACCAGACCAGACCAGACCAGACCAGACCAGACCAGACCAGACCAGATCAGCCCGACCTGACCTCCCCTGACCTGACCTGACCTGACCTGCCCTGACCTGACCTCACCTCCGCAACGATCCACGCAAAAGAGATTCGTAGGCACGAACGCCCAACTGATCAGTCATGGGTAGCTGAATGATTATTGAAACTCATCATTCATTCCAAAATACTTTAACAGAGCGATGCAAATGTATTTTTATTCACATGGCAGTGCATTCTGCATTCAAGCCATGGATCCCGATTCCCAGGCTGAAAGGACTGTTGTTGCATCGACACGAGGTCGTCGGGTCAGGGTTATACACCTCGCCCATCTTGATGATGACGTCACCGTGCTTGCAGTTCCAGCCTGGAAGTCAAAATATCAACAAGTGAAGCATCTTCTTGAATGTCCCAGTGTTACACAATTGTTTACTCAACATTCGAACTGCCATGATGATTGATTGTTTTTAACGCCGCACTCAGCAATATTCCAGCTATATGGCTGCGGTCTGTAAATAACCGAGTCTGGACCAGACAATCCAGTGATCAACACCATGATCATCCATCTACGCAATTGAGATACGATGCCCTGCGTGAACCAGGTCAGCGAGCCTGATCACCCGATGCCGTTAGTCGCCTTTAACGAGAAGCACGGACAAGCATGGGCAAGCATGGACAAGCATGGAGAAGCATGGACAAGAATGGAGAAAGCATGGAGAAAGCATGGACAAGCATGGACAAACATGGACAAGCATGGACAAGCATGGACTTCACTGGTCCCAAGTATTATGTGGACGGAAGACTAATAATAATCATAATGACAACAGCTGTAACACTTTTGAAACAATATATATACCCATAATACAGTCACAAAAATTGCACAGTCGACTCTGATTTTAGGAGAGACTTCTTATGGATGGGGAACGGGTTTTGTTGTTTCTACTACCATGTGCCTTTGTTGCACCATATATATCCAGCGATATTATTAGGCGCTAGCTATTTTTTCGCATTTGGCCTGTTATTGTTACAATGTGTCTTCCATCTCTGCTTGCGTTTATTTTTTGTGAACCTTTACTTGTATAATTGCTTACATGGGTGCTAATGGTATCTTCCAGAGTACTAGATAAAAACTTTTCCCAGCCTGAGCAAACGCCATTATAACAACTCCTCTTGAATATATAAATAATGTACATAAAGCAGCACCTAATATTTTCACACTCACGTTCTTGTCTTCAGGCTCTTTGTAATATGTCATGTTAACATCCATTTTAATTCGAAATAATGGAATTATAATGATCTCTGCTACTGGCCAATACGACATCATCCTCTGTTGGTTACCTGGCCATGTTGGAACATGTTGGTTACACAATATCTGATTCTGCTGCTGAGGCAGTGTGCTGTGACACCACTTTTGATGCCGTACACCGATTATAAGATGATAAATGTTATCAGAGAACTAATGCAAAATAAGGGTGACACCCAAGCAGGTATCAATAAGTTACGTAAATTTATGCAAACTATCGTTAACACCTGTTTGAGTTGTCACATTTGCAGGGGTCATCCTGTGACGATGTCGTGTTGATCGCAGTAGTGAGTATGGTTTTACGCCGCTTTTAGCAATATTCCAGCAATATCACGGCGGGAGACACCAGAAATGGGCTGCACACTTTGTACACATGTGGGGAATCGAACCCGGGTCTTCAGTGTGACGAGCGAACGCTCTAGCCACACAGCTACCCCACCGCCCATGCTGGCCACAGCAAATATAAATAGATAGATGAAGCATTCATCGAAAGTTTTGTGTCCCTTGTGATGAAAGAGTCACGGTCATGTCGTGCTTGTCCTAGATTTTCCATCACAAGGGATTACAATTTCACAGTTTCAACTTTCAAAGGATCTTTTAAGGTATGTTATCATTTAAATCTTAGTTTCTTAAAAGAAATCGTTCTAATTGATAAATTTGGATAATACGTATTGCAGTTAGTTTGTGAATGTTAATTTGGTTGAATGAGTTTGTGATTGAGTGAGTGATTTTTGTTTTACGCCGCTTCTAGCAATATTCCAGCAATATCACGACGGGAGACACCAGAAATGGGGTTCACACTTTGTACCCGGGAATCGAACCCGGATTTTGGGGAATCAAACCCGGATTTTCAGCGTGACGAACGAACGTGTTAACCAATAGGCTACCCCACCGCCCCTGGTAGGATGAATAAATAGCTGAATTTGATAATAGCCACACCTTCAAATGGTGTTGAAATAAAGGAAACTATTTCCCCAGAGAAGATACGTATGTCCCATTTCATTCAAAGCATTTTTCATCCTTCGTGGTTTTAATCGTAGAATATAAAAAATTATGTGCTTTTAATGTTTGGCTAATTTTCTGAATAATTGCCAACAACTAAAGGAATGATGTACATCCAGCTAGGGTCCATGGACAGTACTGTAAGTCCCCATGGTGCATAGTATGGTGATCTACTTTCAGTTGTTGGCGATCTATAGCCCGTTTTATACTGTATTACCTTACCTGTATAACTTACATGCTACTTTTAAATGTATATCTGTGATATTCTAATTGTTTTACTGTCATTTCTTGACCGATTTTACAATCAAACAATATCTATTATCCACGTATGGCTTGTGTTAGTCACGGATGTCTGAAATATGTGATTCTAACTCACTCACTCTTACATATCATGCTTATACCATTAATCATACCGCTGCCTACATATTTGCTTATGCAATCCTATTTGCGAAGGCTATTGGTATGTTGAGATTAACGAACCATTGGTATGATGAGATTAACGAACCATTTGGACAGGTTGAACAGCACTGGTCTGGTTGTTTGACAGCGTCTACACACAAAGCAAGTACGCAGTCCACGTATACACAGGCAGCTCGACCGGAAGCTCCACAGAAACACCTCTCGCATGGAGTTGGTTTGAAATGCTCGCCAATCTTGTAGTATTTGCCATGGCGTTCGCATGTGTTAGGCGTCGTTGTGAGGGTGACTGGAGTGGTGTTGATGACAGCTGCCAGGGCTGAACTCACCAAGCAGAGGAGGAGGATACCTATCATCTTTGTCTTGGGACAGCAGGCTAGAAAGGTCGATCAACTGTTGGAATGGTAGTTTCGTTGTGAAAATCGTTATCTGTATTTCAAGGTATAGGTCACCTGATTTGGCATGTAAAGTATGTTTGATGAACACGTGACATTTAAGGCTGGTCACTTCCAATCAGATTTCCAGTGGCACCTATTGAAGTTACAGATAAGTGTAACTGATTGATATGTGTTTGCGATTAAAATCCCAAACTATATACTATCCGAATATATAACAAGTATATAACTCGATCTAGACGCTTTATAATTTTGATGTCACCACTCACATGAACTCGCTTAAATAGCGAGACCTTCGCGAGACCTTAGTACTTACGGTGACAAACAACGTTTCATACCTTTCGAATGGTCTCGTGGTTGTCAGTTGACAGTAAGGAACCGATAATACTTGCTGGAATAACACATTTCCGATCTAACCATCCCAAATTAGCCAACTATTACGACTATCAACAGCTGTGACAGCCAGGCATCGTTGTACACTTGGTCCGGTCTAATAAAGTTATATTTGGCGGTCGCGCAATTTGAAACCATAACTGGTTCTTGAATATACGCTTGTCCCCGGAAATCTGGTATTGGAGGTAAGCTGGGCTCCGTCTCGCACATCGCAAGTTGGGGCGCGCAAAGGGGGCAGGGTACAAGCTTAGTACCGGAAGTAGCGCCTCGCTAGACTAATGGAGGTACATGGCTTTAACAAAGAACCAGTGTATTCCAGTTGATGCTTAATGGTCCACTTAGACTGTCACGAAAAATGCATCACCAATATTGAAAATGTTGTGTTCCGCAGGTTCAACGTTTGGACTTACAGTAGGACCCATGACATATTGTGATTGTAATGACAATCCAAATCCCAAGAATCATTATTGTAATGGCGACTCCTACAGTCTCACAGATCCCGGAAACTTTTTCTTCCTCCCAAAACTCATGTAATGCTTTGAACCAAAGAAAGTCTTGTCATTTTTAAAGGAGATCTTTCTTTGTATAAAAATAAGATATTTTCGAAAATGTTATTCTATGTTCGAACATGTATATCCCACTAAGGGATTCGATATGATTAACGAATGAAGACTCATCACAGAGACAATAGTGCTCAGTGTGACGCTCAACAAACAAACAAACAAACAAACAAACAAACAAACTGAAAATAGAAATCATTTTGTTTAAGCATGCAACGTTTTGTGCAGTAGGAAACGTGGGGAAACGTTGGCATATGTGTGAGTAAAAGAAATGACCAGTGACAATGCAGCGATTCATCTTACTAACGGCGTTGAATGTATATTGTAAACCAAAAGTCACTGTGTTCTTTAATCTGATTGGTTGAAAAACGTGATCAAATGGTATTTGATTCCCGGAAATTCTCTGCGTATTAATACATACAAACATCGCTCACACCATTGTATTGTTACGTCGTCAGCTGTGATGACGTCATTTAGATCATATTGTGACGTAAAGTCCGAATGACGTCACAAATGAGCATTTCCAGATGCTACCATGGGACACGGCCGGCTGATGACATTTCACTGCTGTACCCGTACTCGATGTCAATGAGAGCAGACACAAAACACGTGTGTGGACCTTTCGGTTTACTTTTAGATGACAGTCGATAAACATCATAGTTGGTGAAATTGACATTTGAAGCACGGAAATATTTCATTTGAAACCTCCGGCTCACGCCGTCGGTTCCAAATGAATTCCCGTGCTTCAAATACTCAATAACACCCGGAAATTCGCCAACACATGATGTTTATCTCCTAATTGTAATGGGCATTGGGGTTGCGTCCATTTGGTTTGATTATACACTGGCATTCCGTTTCGTAGCCTTGCCTAAGATCCGGGTTATAATTGGTCTTCAGCAACCCGCTTGTCGTAAGAGAAGACTAACGGGAGCGGGTGGTCAGACTCGCTGACTTGGTTGACCCACGTCATCGTATCCCAATGGCGTAGATCGATGCTCCTTCTACTAGGGATTGTTAGACTCAGTATAGCAGTGTAACGAATAATGCTGAGCCTAAGTTTACTTAGACTGCCAACTGTGCCAGAAATAGCTGAATCTACTACTGCTTTGTTTCACCACCCAAGCAAAATCTTTGTGTACATAAAACATTCCTAACTTTTGAAACCCAGTTCGAACTACCGTCACTATCATACAGTAAAACCATATTATAAGTCTTCCTAACATCCTTAAAATCTCTGACCTATTACCATTTGATTTTTGTGTACGAGTACAGGGTATAGGCCGCACTGACCTAACACAGCATATGTAGGTGTCTTTATAGCCAGGTGTAGAGCCTAATAAGGTGGTAAGGCGTCTACCTATCACGCCGAAGGTTCGATCCCCGATGGAGGCACCTAGGTTTGCGTAGTATGCTTGGACAAGATACTTAGAGCCACATTGTCTCCAGTTCACCCGTTCGATGTGCTGGCAATGTGAGTGTTTACAGCTTGTTCAGCTTTGACCTGATCAAGTGAATATTAATGATATGCGTGACCGTGTCACAACTGGTTGGGCCTATTATCGTGAAGGGGTGCACCTTTTATCAGATGATTGGTGTAAACGATCGAGTGGACTGATTGCTGTGCCCATGCTGTAAATTGGGACAGAAATATTGCAGTTGAGCATGAAATAGAAAAAATGGTAACTGAACTGGGTGTAGAGTGATAGCGAGAGTGAATCGGATTGTGAAAGTAACTGAAGTCCGTAAGTTTTAAAGTTATCAAACCAAACTAACTCATATGACTGTATAAACAATTCAATTAAAATGACATGATTGGGTGTTTTTTCTGAAGTGTTGTTTTCCGGGACAAGTTCTGTAACAAATCTATGTATGCATGCAACATTAATAACATTCTCTGCACCCCTATTTAATGAAGATAACCCGATCTGCCGTTTGTGCCATTTGACCTCCCGGGTCATGCATATGTAGAGTAGCTCAGGTCAATCTGAACAAGTTGTAGTTCATTGCTCCTAACAGGCAGCATGGGCCAGGGAGTTGAAACAGTATCATAGTGTCCTATGACCGGGGATAGTAATGTACGTAGCGCCTTGACCAGACAATGTGCCTGGGTATGAGTGCCATATAAGCGGACTATTTCTGTTAGTTTATTAATTTATTACAGTGTCATGTGTTACATGGTATAAAACATTTAGTCCAGATATACAATACAAACACCGGGTCTCACGGGGCCGAAATGACAACTTAAAATGTTGCAGATTAAACATTCAGTTACTATTACTGTAGAAATTTTGCATGCAGTTATTTGTATTTTTCTATAGTTCCAAATTGTTTAAAAACCCATACTTGACAGCCATAAACACAAGAATCTTTCACGGAAATATGTTAGTTTCGCAAATTTCGAAAAAGATTTTGCTGTAGATCGTTATCGTTGCTAAGGACACTACAATTCCTTGCGCAACACCAGGAACAACGAGACATCAATTTTCAAAGTCAGACACCAGGCCATCCAATCTGTAATGGATGGTTGAATAAGTATTGAAATTCATCAGTCATTCCTACAAACCATAACCAATTGCTACAAACACATATTTATTCAGATTGAGGTGCAATTTGCCTTTAATTCAAGGCTGCCGAAGCCGAGGTAGGGGTTACCGAAGTTACACTGACACGCAGTCGCTTTGTCTGGGTGATACACCTCGCCCATCTTGATGATGACGTCACCGTGTTTGCAGTTCAAGCCTGGAAGACAAAACATGGCGAACGTGTGAAGCAGATTCATTAAAGATTGATTACGCCAGTAATACGACATTTGTACATTTGCTTAACTAACCGTATTGTAAGTTTGGAAGATATAGTGATGTGCTTTTGTAACACTTTATGGAGCAAGGGGTACGTCGTATATTGCTTGCACTTATTTATACAAGATTCATGTAAATAGGGTTACCATTCATCTCACAAAGGGACAGATTCATTACAAGGATATTCCACTTCACATGCTTACACAATTGATTACATCTCAACTTAGTTGAGGGTTACCTCTTTCCCGTACTGGCTCCCGAACAGGTATCGCTGCATAACCGTTATCGCCAATACATCAGTATCACACGTGCGCACTTCCGGTCAATTCCAATTCCGGTATTAAATACCACGGTATTTGACAACAATAAAGGACAGCAAAAGATAATTCTTCGCGGTCAGTAACAGAAAAGAGCAAAATTGAAGATAAGGTTATGAGCCCTACAACAAATTTTGAACTTAGTCACAGGATCTATATAGTAGCAAGTTTAAGTTCACAAAAGTCGTTAACTGTTTCATTCCCTATCAATGTACTGTAAACACACACTCAACTAGTCACACAGTCAATTATTCGATTTTACTTTATAATATAAATATATATTATTTCTCGAATGACCTGAAAAATTCTGAAATGGCGATAACTGTTACAGATAGTTGTGATAAAACTCCTATTTGTACTGCCATGATTCCCTTCCGCCGCGTTATATATTATAAAAACATGATCGGCGGCAGTAAACGGGCTAGACACATCGGTGAATAGCTAATTAAGTACTATCATTATTAATTGCATTTCATTAATGTAACGAACGGCGCAGTAATTTTGTAAATACCGCTAAAATATTGCGATAACTGTTCGGCAGCCAGTACCATTACTGCTATGTGTCAGTCGTATTCTTTGTACAACAATTGAGATCATTCGTACCCTGGATACTCAGCCTTGGCCTATTTTACACAAAACTGGACCATTGTTGCCGTGAGGCGAGTATCATCTCTGTCGTTGCTGCTATAATCGCTGCTTTCGACATTATACTTCCTCTCTGTTTTGTACTACCACTCTGAAATTTTGTTGTGATCTGTACCGAAGTTTAAACTTAGTTTATTTTAGAATACAATTGTACATCACATCTGTCTGTTGTATGTTGGTGTCACATCGCGTTCTTTTACAGATTTCTCGGCTAACGTAACATTACTGACGTCTCTGCTAACATGGCTGACACATAATTGATGGAAGATGGCTTCCATCTCTGCTTACATTTGCCATTCTACATCTTTGCTTATGACACCGCTTACATTGGTGCTTACATGATCGTTTACATGGCTACTGACATCTCCACTTAAACGGTTGGTTACATCACTGCTTATATATCATTGTTTACATCTCACCATTTGGACATGTTGAACAACACTGGTTTGGTGATTTCACAGCATCAACACACATAGCAACTGCGCAGTCAATGGATATGCAGGCAGGTCGACCGGCAGCTGCACAGAAGCACTGCTCGCAGGGCGTTGGTCTGAAAGACTCGCCAACCATGTAGTATTTGCCGTTGTTTAGGCATGCGTTGGGCGTAGTTGTAAGGATGACTGGGGAGGTGTTGATGACGGCCACCAGGCATAAACTCAGCAGGCAGAGGAGGATACCGATCATCGTTTCCTTTGTGCTGCAGCTTGGTGCAAATGGTGACTGTTAGTTTTCGTCTGAAATTCGTTATCAGAATTTCAAGATAATGTAGTTTGATGACCACGTGACGTGTAAGGTGTGTTGCTCCCACTCAGATTGTAAGTGGCACTTGTGTAGGTAAAGGATACATGTTACTGAAAGATATGTCACAAAGATTAGGATTGCAGATGTTATATTATCCGAATGCGTAACTCAGAAAACACCAGAAATTAGACGCCACAGAGTTAAAAGAAACACAAGTTATGCGTAACCCTTCATGGTAACTTAGCTCATATGCATTTACAGACCTTGTGGGTGAGTAAGTAAGTGAGTGAGTGAGTGCGTGAGTATGGTTGTACGCAGCTTTTAGCAATATTCCAGCAATATAACGGCGGGGACAATTCAGGAATGGGCTTTACGCATTATACCCATGTGGGGAGTCGAATCCGGGCCTTCGTTCTGACGAGCAAACGCTTTAACCACTAGGCTTTTCCACTCCTATGCTGAGTGTTGCTGCAAAAAGGATTTATATAAAGGAAAAAGAAACAACAATTCCCGCCCTATTTTGACAAAAAAAATCAACAACCCAGCAGCACAAAACTCAAGCCTGAGTTACACCAATGTAAAGGGTGACGTGAAGCGACCAATTCGCAAAGCTCACTCAGAGGAAAATGATTGTGAAGTTCAGAAGTGCACACGTGTACATATATCATGAAATCCACTAAATAATGACACAGCAAAATGTCCCTCCAACACGTTTCAATTTTCAGGCAGTGTAGATGACTATACTTTTATCTTCACTCCCTGGAAATATAGTTGAACTATGAAGGAGAGAAATTCGTGTTGAAACATTATTTTGTGGGTGTATATATTTGTTCATATTCGGACTAAGAACTGCATTTATACCCATGCTACATTTACTCATGATTTTTATCAACTATTGGTCAGACGTGCTGACTTTGACACACGGTTAGATAGATGCTCATGTGTTGATCACTGGATTGTCTGGTTCCGACTCGATTATTTAAAGACCACCGCCATATAGCGGGAATATTACTGAGTGTGGCTATTGACAACAAACAAAATCAAATATGTGGCTCATAAAGTTGAAACGTGTAGGAGGGGAATTAGCGTTGTGTCATATATTTGTGGATGACTTTGTATATGTATAGTTCATGGTTATAGTTATTTCATGTTTAAGTTAATATATTATACATGCGTATGATATGTAATTGTTAGTACATTGTATAATGAAAGCATATTCATGAAATGATAAAACACACACACACACACACACACAATCATACGTACACAAGCGTTTAAACTATATATAACAGAATATAACTACGACTTTTATTTGAAAGAAGCATTATTTTCTGAAAAGATAATGAAGATGGCTAGGATTTAATAAAGAATGTGTTTTGTTATCAATGTTACCAATAATACGTCATTAGAGCAAACAAATTTAAACTCGGGTAAACTTAAAAGCTTGATGACCCGGAAGTCACTAACACAATACATAGACTGCCCAGGCTGTAATTTCATACTATCAGCCCTTAGAGAATACCTTTAACAATGCCATACCTACAAGGCTACTTTGACAGAACAATGTTATGCATACAAGGCATCCTTGACAGAACAATGCTATACCTACAAGGCATCGTTGACAGAACAATGCTATGACTACAAGTCATCATTGACAGAACAATGCTATACCTACAAGTCATTGTTGACAGAACAATGCTATACCTACAAGGCATCTTTGACAGAATAATGCCATACCTACAAGGCATCTTTGACAGAACAATGCTATACCTACAAGTCATCTTTGACAGAACAATGCTATACCTACAAGTCATTGTTGACAGAACAATGCTATACCTACAAGTCATCTTTGACACAACAATACCATACCTACCTAAGACCGCCTCCGTGGTGTAGTGGTTAGAGCGTCCGCCTGGAGAGCGGAAGGTCGCGTGTTCGATCTCCAACCGCGTCATACCAAACGACGTTAAAATATGGCACTTGTTGGTCCCTGCCTGGCGCTCGGCATTAATGTGTACAACAAGGACTGGTCGGCTCGGAGTCAGTATAATGTGTCTGAGTGAGGTATTCCTGCTTCACTGCGGCATGCTATCTCAGTGGGCTGGCACTATAAAACCAGCTTCAGTCTGCGCTAGTACAAGCAGCCGCACATACACATACACACACATGCACGTCGTCATATGAGCGAAGTATTCTCAAGCACGACGTTAAACCCAATTTCACCTCACCTCACCTCACCTCACCTACCTAAGTTGTTTTTTTATCAGAACAATGCTTTATTTACAACGCCTTTGTCCCTTGTCATCTTGGCATTAATGTTGGTTTTAGGTAGATAATTTCATACGAATATTGTATATATACCAGCTATAAAATGGCGGGGTGAAAAAAACTGAATCAGTTAGAATTTGTCAAACCATTGATTGATTGATTGAGTGAGTTTAGTTTTACACCGCCCTAAGCAATATTTCAGCTATATGGCGACGGTCTGTTAATAATCGAGTCTGGACAAGACAATCAAGTGATCAACAGCATGAGCATCCATCTGCGGAACTGGGAACCGATGACATGTGTCAACCAAGCAAGCGAGCCTGACCACCCGATCCCGTTAGTCGCCTCTTACGACAAGCATGGGTTACTGCAGGTTCATTCTAACCCGGACCTTCACGGGTCAGTGGTTGATATAATGAACAACAATCCACGTTGCCATCAACGCTGAAGGTGTCAGACACGTTATATGCATAGTTCGTTATAGAATAAAGACTAAACGATGTATACTAAACGGTATAGTGTTTATCCCTGATAACAGTCCTTCTTTTCTCGATGATGTAAACTCGACGTGACATTTTGACATCAAGCAACATCTTTCTCAAGCTTGTTTCTTTCTGTGTCACATGCCAACACATGATTCGGCTGCACGGTTTATAATGTTACTTTGATTGGTGCGTTAAAAACAAGAGCGCCTCCTTGTCTAAGCATCCGCACTCCACCAAATATCCATATGTTTATTCTAGGTGAGTAAAAACCAGCTTGTCGAACGTGTTCTAAAAATACACGAGTTTCCCTCTTTGGTGAGATTCGGATCGAATGCCAATATTGTTTTGGCAGTTAAAAACCTGGTATCTTTTTCTTGAGTATGGACATGGAGAGTAATACAGCAGCGTCTGCTAGTCAGAGCTTCACTTTTGACAGATCACCACGGTTTGGCATGCCAGAGGCCTACCTTTGGCAGAGCAGTGCCCCACTGCAAGGCATACCACAACATGTGTATGGTCGCCTAGTGGTTCCCTCGTCACGGCAATCACTTGATATATATTTGCTGTTCTTTAACGCAGCATTCAGCAATATTCCAGTTATATGACAGGTGTCTGTTAACAAACTGGATCCAACCTGACCTTATTGACAACATGACAGTCATAAAGCAGAGTAGTCAGCCACCCTACACCTGATCAGTCATGGTCGGTTAAATAAATAGTGACTCAAAATGAATAACTCATTAATAATTCATACACACGTTAACAGATCGCTACGAATGTATATTTATTCAAACTGAGGTGCAATTTGGCTTTAATTCAAGTAAGCCATGGTCCATGGGGATATTGAAGTTGCACTGACACGAAGTCGCCTTGTCAGGTTGATACACCTCGCCAATCTTGATGATGACGTCACCGTGTTTGCAGTTCATGCCTGGAAGACAAAATATGGCGAACGTGGGAAGCAAATTCATGAATGACCGATTACGCCAGTAGCACGACATTTGTACAGTTGCTTTACTAAACAGTATTGTAATAACGGTAGATACAATGATGAGATTTACCATGTCCTTTGTTGCACCAAATCTATCCCTCATTTAATGGAAGGACAAGAACCACTTCACATGCTTACAGTATTGAACACATTTTTACCTACTTGAATGTTTACCTAATTGATGAATCATGCATGCAGTGTCATGCTTTGTGTAACAATGTTCCAAATGTATAACGTTATAACAATGGGGGGCAGTGGTGTACTACTCCAGGGAGTTAGAGAATCGTCTGGAATATTTTTAACGTGCTTAGGCTTTCCTCTTATCTCACATCACATCTCAAGTTTCATGTAGAGCGGCAACTGGATGGAGATCATTATTAAGCTGGATACTCTCAGCCTCGGCCTATTTTACTCAAAACTGGACCACTGTTGCAATGAGGCGAGTATCATCATCTCTCTGTCGTTACTGCTATAATCGACATTATACTGCCTCTCTATTTTGTACCACCACTCGGGAACCTTGTAGTGATCTGTATTGATTTAATTGATTTAACTTAGTTAATCTTAGAACACAATTGTACATTACATCTCGTTGTTTTTTGTTTACAACCTTCTTGTTTAACGTTTGGTTCCAGATCACCACGTGACATGTATGACATGTCTGCTAACATGGCTGACACATGAATTGGTGACATCTTGGCTTCCATCTCTGCTTCGTTTATATTTCTACATCCTTGCTTATATCACTACTTACATGGGAGTTTACATGGTCGTTTACATGGCTGCTGACATCTCCGTTTAAATGGTTGCTTATATAAGTGCTTATATCATTGCTTATATCATTGCTTATATCATTGCTTAACTCAGACGTTACATGATGGTTTAAATCATTGCTTCTATCATTACTCATATTGCTGCTTACGTCATTGGTAAACACTCCTGTATGCGAAAGTTATTGATATGGTAAAGTTATCGAACCATTTGGACAGGCTGGGCAGCACTAGTCTGGTTGTTTCACGGCATCAACACACATAGCAACTGCGCAGTCAATGACCAAGCAGGCAGCTTGACCGAGAGTTCCGCAGAAACACTTCTCACATGGTGTTGGACTGAAGTCCTCGCCGACCAAGTAGAATTTGCCACGATGTACGCATCCGCCGGGCATGGTTGTGTGGATGTATGGAGGAATGGTGTTGATGACGGCCACCAGGCAACTCAGCAGGAAGAGCAGGATACTGGTCATCGTTTTGTTTTGGGCAGGAGACAGGTA